TTGGTTTTGTAGCCTCCCTAACCTAAGCAATTAAGCCTGAAAGGGGTGTTTTAACACCTAATACCCTAAAGTCAACTGACTTGGGAGCTATTGACCCAACGTTTGTTACATGGGTTGAGGAAAAAAACTTAAGAAAATCAAACATTGCACTATCTACATATCAGTATCTGCGACCCGAGTTACTAAACTCGTAGGGGTATCTCAACACCTAATGCCCGAAGACCAACTGGTCTGGGAGTCATTAGCTGAAAGCTCATTACATGGGTTAAAGATGCATGATGTTTTAATTTATATATATATATATATATATAAGAAGAAGAAAAAAAAAGAAAAAAAAAGACAAAAATAATAATCTCAACCCAAGGAAGTTAACCTTAAACATTAGAACAAAAATTTTGTTATCTTCCAAGAAAGCCCCATAATTAGGTGTTGATCAATTAAGCACAAAGAAAAACAAAAGAAAGGTTTATTAATATCTTGTTAAGAGGTATTGAGCAGATATATAAATTTAATGAGAGTTTGTTTATCTGGATAGATTAATGGAAGTTAAATGATGAATACCTTGCTTTGTGGAATTTGCAAATTGTTTTTCTATTTTAACGCTTTGATTACTAGGGACTAGTAATAAGCTGGTTGGGGGGTGTGATTAGTACTTAAAAGTGCATTTTATCAAGATTTTATATCATCATTTTGCACTTGAAGTATCAATAACTCCTTAACTAAATCATGTTTTACAATAATATATCTAATAATATAAGATACCTTTAATTTATGGTAAATGTTCATTTTAAATGCAGGCCTATCACATAAATGAAAGGATTGATTGATAAATTTAAGAACTCAAATTGAAACGATAAAGAGATGGCCAAACTTAGAAAAGAGATGTCGGTGCAATCCAAACCGGAACACTATTTGGTAATTGGGTCATATCTGGAGCTATAGATCTCAAATTTAGGTCTACTTTATATAGATGGAAAGGTAAGACATAGGCCTACAACTTTGATATGGAGCCCAAGATCTAAAAAGGCCATTTTCAAGTCCAAATTGTAGCAACAACAAAGAAGCCCGAATCTGTCCTCCAACCCGAGCACTGTTTAGTATTTTGGCCATATCTGGAGTTCTAAACGTTGAAATAAGCTGAATGTTTTAAACAAGAAAGCTGAGACAATTTCCTACAACTTTCATGTTTTCAAGTGGCTCCAATTTTGACGTTATCAATGACGTTTTGGGCAGACAAGAGAAGATAAGGATTATCACCAAGTCAAGAGTTGGTCACCCACTCATCAATTAGTCATCAAATCAATAGTTCCTAATTTTGGCCTATAAAAGGAGGCATTTGCCATGCATTTAGGCATCTTGGTCTCCAGATCAAGATCATGCTCTTGCTTTCTCTCTTTCTATTTTTTTGTATTGCTTATGTTTTGCTTTCATTAATATCAAGTTTATGCCTTTCATTTCCTTTCCTTTACTTAGTTAACTTTTATCTTATTTATGTTCTTGTTTTGTTTATTTATTTTTCTTTCTTTCATTATGTCTAGCTAAGTTTATTATGTCAAGGTGAAAAGGTTTCACTAATGGTGTAAGAATAAGTATAGTGTAAACTTAATATGGATTTTAATGTTTGATACTAACATGTTTTATATTTGTTATCTTGTTCACTCTTTTATACTTTGCTTGTTAAATGACTAATCTTGATTTATGTTGTATAACACTTGGTACAACAAATGCTTGGCACTTTCATAGCCCATACTGTATGGTATAACCGACACCTAAGCTATGAAAGGAATTTGATTTGTTGTTAACATAAGTTATAATCATGAATGCTTGACGAGATTTACAAGTACTAGCATTAATCGAATAAGATGACTAATGTAATCATGTTAACAATATATTATCTGATTGGAACCTCCTTTGTGTGTGGTTTCCAATTGAATAATAAGAGTTTATACTATACTTGTTTGACATACCATTGGTGGATCCTCTAACCTTGACATTTGTTATTATTATTGTTTAATCCTTACACTAATATTCCATCTCCAAGTTCTCATCTTCTTCTTCTTCTTCTTTTTATTTATTATTATTATTATTACTACTACTATTACTAGTAGTGTTATTATTATTATTGTTATTGTTGTTGTTGTTGTTATTGTTGTTGTTGTTATTATTGCTATTGTTGTTGTTTATAATTTGTACAATTAACCTCCCTGTGGTTCAACCCTAGTCTTGCCGTGTTATTTATTACTTCGACACTCCTGCACTTGGAAGAAGACATCAATCTTTTAGTCGTGTCAATAAACAAGATAAGAACATAACTAAGGTAAAACTTAACTAAGTAAAGAAAAAAAATGAAAGAGATAAATAAGATATTAATGCAAGCAAAACTTAAGTATTACAAAAATACAAGAGAGAAAGCAAGAGCATGATTTTAATCTAGAAGTCAAGATGCCTAAATGCATGGGAAATGCCTCCTTTTATAAGCCAAAATTTAAAACTATTGATTTGATGACTAATTGTTGAGTGGGTGACCACATATTAACTTGGTAACAATCCTTATTTTCTTGTTTGAACAAAACGTCATTAATAACATCAGAATTTGAACAAACCATACCCATGAAAGTTCTAGGAAATTGTCTCATCTTTCTGGATAAAAAACATTAAGGTCATTCGTACTTCTAGAACTCGAGATTTGGGCTGAACACTGAACAATGTCTGGGTTGCAGGATAAATTCAGACTTCTACGTTGTTACTAAGATTTGGACTTCCAAACAATAGAATTGAGTCTTGCCTTCTAATGAAAGTTTTAGGTCTATTTCTTAGCCTTCTATCGATATAAAACAAACCTAAATCTAAGATCTACAGCTCTAGATATGACCCAATTACCGAACAGTGTTCCAGTTTGGACTACACCAACATCTCTTTTCTAAGTTTGGTCTTCTTTTTGTCCTTCCAATTTCAATACTTCCACTCATTAATTAATTCTTTTATTTATGTGATAGGCCTGCATTTAGGATGAATATTTACCATAAATTAAAGGTATCTTATGGTATTAGACTTGTTATTATAAAACATGCTTTAGTTAAGGAGTTATTGATACTTCAAGTACAAAATAATGATATAAAACCTTAATAAAAAATAAACTTTTAAATAATAATCAACTTTTAATCGAGACAATAAGTTTCTTAGTCACTTTAAATGTACATGATGGAAATTATATCACTCTTCATTACAGTTCAGTAACACAATACATTCATTAACAAATGAGCAAACAAGGTTGTTGAGTTGGACATTATGATACTTAATAAGAAGCATTAGTGGTGATAAGCCAAAATAGTGGAAGTATGCCTTTGCATAAGCAGAATTTCATACAATAATGCTAGGCACAGTGCCTCGTGTAAATCACTATTTGAGATTGTGTATCTACAATGTCCTAAACATGTGTTAGATCTTATGTTAATTCAAAAAGATTTTGGGTTTAGTGTGGCTGCTAAGAATATGATTGTGGATGCTTAAATTACTATGGATGATGTGAAGCAAAAGGTAATGAAGATCAATACCAAATAAAAGGAAGTTATCAATAAACATCATCGTGCTAAAATGTTTGAGGAAGGAGATAAGGTCATGGTGTTCCTTCACAAAAAGAAATTTCTAGTAAGGTCATATAGCAAGCTGTAATAAAATAAATATGGTCTTTGCACCACCCTGAAGAAGGTTAGTGACAATGCTTATGTTATCAATTTACCTAATAAAATAAGTATTTTCAAAACTTTTAATGTGACATTTATTCTTTTTATGATGAACATCATTTGTATCTAGAGCTTAGAGATGACTAACATGGAAGGTATTACAACTATATTTAAGAACTAGATAGACAAGACCAAACCTAAAGATAAGTTTGCAAAAAAGTACAAAAGCATCTAATATGGAGCTTGAGATTGTTGTTTTAATTATTTTTCTAGTTAATTTTAGATTTTAATTATTTATGTTTAATTAATATTTAGGGATTTTAATACTAGATGGATTCTATTAATTAGGTAAGTTTTAATTAGAAATTATTTTTTATAAAATATTTTAGTTTTAATTAGGAGTTATTTTTCCATAAAACATTTTATCACTAATATAAATATGGATGTTTAGTTTCTTTTTAAAAAAAATTATTATTCAGACTTTTAATAAAATACTAAGTTTTTTCTAATTTTTCTATAATTTATATTTGTAATCTTATAACTTGAGAACTCTAACTTTTATAAATATTATTCATTGCATGTGGGGAATTCAATGAAAATGATTTTGCCCTTTAATCATGTTGGTAAATGTAAATCAGAGTTCATAAATCTTTTTAATGGGTTTAATTTTTTTTATTTTTAGACCGATTATATGTTTTGGAATTGAAAATAAAAATATGGTTACTAAAGTTTCTAGAATGTATGTGAGGGTTTTTTTAAGATGAAAACAAATAGAAATTTAGGTTATGAGATCAAAAATCATGTTGATGATAAAAAAAAAAAGAAGAAGAAGACATGTTTTGTTGAAAGAAATAAAAATACATAAATAAAAAATGATGATTTTGACTAAAGAAATTTTTTTTTTCTCTAGAGTTTTAATCCTTTCACAGTTTTTCTTTTTAATAATTTATCAGTTTATTATTCATTATCTTTTCATTTATTAATTAACTAGTTCTATGATAATAAAAAACTTCTACAATGCCCAAAATTTCTTTTCTATTAAAAATTAATTTTGAATCCTGCCTGGACAGTTTTTCAAGGTAATTAGCATCAACGTTTTAATATCCTTTCCTATTTTCTACGCTCGACCGACCATGCACAGCCTTGCAGATGTCAAACCACTATATTACATAATAAATCAACTTTCAAAAGCGTGGGATGTATGAAGGAGACTGCTGTAAAATGTTAGAACTCTGTTAAAATAAGTGCAGAACTTGGATGCAGAACGTCATCCAATCAATGAGTGATGGTAAAATTCTATGTTTTTACATGATGAGGTGATAGGGCAAAAATAAAAAAGGGAGGACAGCCCCAGGCCAAGCGACTCCAACTACAAGAAAAATTGCATTTGACAATACAAAGGATTTTATGAATCCTGAATCATCTCTGAACCAGCAAGATTCAGCAACTACATCAAGTCATCTTACATAAAGGAGATTGTTAATATGTACATATCATGCACTTAAAGTGCTGTCAGGAATTTTGGGCATCTCGTTGATAGGGCATAATCAACCTTGCAGCTCTGCTATCTCGCAAGACTCTAATTACCGATGCCTGTCTCAAACAAATTGCTGAGGGCATAAGCTATGTCCCATGGGCACAGAATGATAATCCATATATCATCTTGAATTAATCCTCGGAGGCACTAGAGGTTGGCCTTTGCCTGCATTGTAGGACCTTTTGCTTTGCAAACTTCGTGGAGGAACAACACCTTCGGAATATCGTCCACCATCTAGGTCCTGGAGTGACTGGACATCTGATGCTGTAGATTTTTTGGAATTCTGGAGCGGTTTCCCCTCTTTTCCCAATCCTTTATCTTTTTCTAGATTTTGAAAAGAAGGTATTTCTGAACCCCGGCTCTTCTCCAGGTTTTGATCTGGACCTCGGCCCTTGTCCATATTCTGGATTTCATTTGCAATCTGGCTACGGCGTTCCTTCAGAAAGTTGAGTCGGGTAGTCAATCTTGTCAATGCAGAAGTGGTGGAATTCACTCCCTATTGGGCACACAGTTGTGGCAAGTAGCATGAATACATCTCATATAATATTTACTTTTATGAAATAACATGCTTTAAGCCATCTTGGCCACGTGAAATTTGCACTCACTTTCATAGTTTCAACAGAAAACAAAGAGCTTTTTATTCCACAAGATTCGGAAGTCCATCCTTCCTAAACATATTACCCATCCTACCCAACCAAGGCAATAATTTGATTTGGCATAGAGTACCCTATTTCCCCAGCACAACTAGAAAGTTCAGCCTACCTCACTCCTTGTACTGGACCTCTTGAAATTGGTTGAAGAAACGAGCCTGGAGTTGCCACTATGTGCTGAATCCAGCTGCTGGGTTTCAGTCCCATCCATACACGTATCCTGCCATAAGAAACCTCCCATAGTTGACTTCCTTTATATATTTTTTCACAATCTACTAACACGATCTCAATATATATATATAATCAATGCAATCAAGGAGGATAAATTGGAAGGGCTGAAGGTCAAGTTGTCCATTAGGCATGGAGAAGCTGCCTTTATATATTTTTTCACAATCTACTAACACGATCTCAATATATATATATATATATATATATAAACCCTCTTCCAGCAGCCTTGACAACTTGATCAGGATTCTCTAACAGCTGAAGAAATTTGTTATTATAGTTTCAAAAAATTAAGCCAAGAAAAAACCGAGAAAAACATGAAAAAAAAATAATAAGAGGCATTAATATAATGGCACATGTCGGTTCATTAGGGTTTTAAAGGTAAACTCAGTAATTTTATAATCCAAGAAAAAACCTAGGAAAACATGAAAAAAAAAATAATAAAAGAGGCATTAATATAATGGCACATGTCGGTTCATTAGGGTTTTATAGGTAAACTCAGTAATTTTATAATCCTGTTTGTCTATTCCTACTTGGAGAGACAAATTGACCTCTACCGTTCATACATGAGACTGGATTGAAAAGTATAAAAGATGTTTGGGCAAGCAAAATTTTACTGGGACGCGAAAGAATTAATAGGCCAAAGTAACATAATAAGATAGATCGAGCCACATGCTGCAAGTGCATACCTTGCTTGCAGGACGTCTAAATGAAGTACCAGTAGCTTCAGCATCCTTCTGTTCATTCCTGAAACAATACAATATTAACCACAGCACCATGACACACCACATCCATTCAGTTTCTTTTTATTACGTACAAGCATCATTTTGTGATTGTCCAGTCCTCCCCCAAAAAAGAAAGAAAGAAGGGAAAGGTTTTTCTTTTAAATGAGGGCTTCTCATATACTTCATCTGTTTGAAGCACAAGAGGCTTTGTAAACAAATGTCTAAACACCACTCAAACATGGGGTATGAAAAGCAAAAAAAAAAAAAAAAAAACAAGTTACCATTTGGCTTCATGCAACGAAGCATTCATGGGCTGATTGATCAAACCATGCATAGAACCAGAGTGTTGCTCATGCTGTTGATTAAACTGTGCACCTGCATCAATGACCTTCCACTTCAAATTGGCAACATTTGCATCTGCTTGAGTTATTTCCTCAAGACCTGCCCTTATCTGTAGCACAATAATAAAATTAAGAACTCAATGCTACAATCAAGAACAATTATACAAGTTAATGAAGAGGTGAACTAACATTTTCATCAATTGTTACTGGAACTTGCAAGGGTCCTTTAGAAGTGTTAAGTTCTGCTTCTAGAACTTTTCTCTTATCTCTCTCCTTTTGCAGCTGTTCCTGTAGTCTTGCCACCTGTAAATACAGTGAATGCCCACAGTTCAAAAACCCTAGGAAACAACCAATCAATCTAGTATTTGTAAGAAGGGAAAGGCATAGTCATCGCATCACAATGTTGTAAGGGAAGAAAATGATAAATAAAAACCATGCAATAGCAATCATTTTATGGCAATCTTGAATTCCCCAAAGTAAAGGTTTCAAATAGCTTCCCCCTACACCGCCAAACAAAGAAAACTTCCCGGCACCTTCATGTAAAACTATCTTGAAAAGAACTCAGGTATCTATTCCCCCTCTCCCAGCTCCATCCAACCCAACAGGAAGAAATAAAGAGAGAAATTAAAATTAAGGAGAAAAACAATCACAGCATGCTTCACACACAAGCAAAATATTTAACAAAATCAATGACACTATTTCAGACATGGAATGTGTTAGTGAAATAAAAGCATATTTTTCATCACTTTTATCAGTATAAAAGGAATATAACAACCACTGCACTAAACTCTCGAACCCTTAACATGAATCTCTGCTTGTCCAGGTCATGTAAACATCCTTGGAAGAATCATCAGGAAAGGGAAGGAACTGAGGGAAAGTAACAACAGAAAGGAAATGGAACATACATCTTGCTGGAGAGCTTGACGATGCTCGTGCAAAGCCTTCTTTCGTTTTTCCAACTTGGCTTGCAGAATGGCATTACCTTTGATCTATGAAGGAAAATACAGCAAATTATTGAAGTGAAAAAAGAACTCATGAAACTCCATGTACTGACATGATGAGGTGTTATTTCAAGCCCCACCTCTTCAGAAATTCTATTTTGCAACTCAATTCTACTTGCCTCCAGCTTCTGGATTTCAACACTAAACAGTCAAAAAGTCAGATGATCAGCATGGCTAGAGATGATAAAAAACATTCCATGACACAGAAAGATTTGATGTGAATTCCAAAAGCAAGAACGAAACTTAACATGCCATGTTATGAAAGTTGCAGCAGCATTTAATCCATAAATAAGATGAATGGATCGTTCTATGGATAAAGCTATCTTCAGCATAATAAAAATCATGGGAGCTAGACATCACAAAGATGTCACTAACCTGAATATTTTTCAATGAGTAAGAAACAAAGCGTTAATAGCAGGAAAGTGCACACCAAGCATTGACTAATTGAATTGACAGGAGATAAACTTTAAAGTACAAAAATTAGGGTGACACTGAAGTTTCGCCATTTGTTTTGTGAGTGTATTTATGTAAGAATATTCGTGCTATAAATCTTTTACCATTAAAGTACAGAAAATGAGAAGGAAGAGCTGGATCTAAGTTAGAGAGTTCCGAAGCATGACATTCAAATCTTCACTGTGCACCAAAATTAAAGTCAGCATAGGAACTGATTGACAAGAATCGACAACAACCTCCTGACACTAGGAATTCCTAATTCCAACCAATCTTCCAGATGAATGGAGGTAATAACCGGGGTTTCAATTTTTCTAGTGCTAGATGGAGCCTTCAATTTCAAACCCAAAGTTCTCCTAATTACTAGATAAAATATTTCATCAGTGTATCAATTAGAGTTCACTTCCTCATAATTTGTAGACATCTATTTGATCCAACTAACATACTACGGTAATTGTCCTCTTTAATTCAGACATACAGAAAGTGACCACTGACAATAAAAAACTTTTCTTTTGTAATGGATATTTTGCTAGAACTAAACTTCATATATATTAGAGTTATTTCCTCAGAATTTGGTGATATCTATTTAATCCAGTTAAGATAAAATGGTAATTGTGGTTTTTAGTTCAGACATACAGAAAGTGACAGCTGGTTGTATAAAGGCTTGCTTTTGTAATTGATATTTTAGACACGCATAAATACTTGGGTAGCTAGCACCTACTGCATTTTTTAAACACGCATAAATACTTGGGTAGCTAGCACCTACTGCATTGTTTAAACTGACAAATGGTTGTGTCCACCACATTCCACATTTATCCCTTATGCCTATAGCCACAAGCAAAGAGTATAACAAGTGGAAAAAAACCCACCTACAGTGGTAATGCCAAGAATGTTGTGCATACGTTTGATGAAACAAAGATGCAAAAAGAATGCTTTTGTAAACAGAACCATGATCCATACAGACGAGATATATACTTACTCATCCTCAATAGGGTAATCAATGGATTCCATGGAAAGGTTCTTCTTGGCCTGAATTCATGCCAAAGGGGATTAAAAAAATATAATTAGTGATGCTTATATTGCACAAACATGCCCTCTTTGAGATAAGATAATGATTGACTGTGTGATGTTAGATGCCCTTTGGCAAGCGAAATCATTTAGTCACAAAGACTTTTGGGGGAGCATGACTGAAGGAAATGGCAAGCCAAATCATAGATCTATAAAACATGCACTCACAGATGTACGTCCCCAAACAGTTGGACGCTTTCCACGCACAGGTCCATTTGATATAGTTGAAGGTTTTTTAGCATCTGGGGATGCCTTGTGATCAGCATTCTTATTCTTGAAACTTGTTTCGGTAGAAACATCTACAGACAGGTCATCTGACTTATCTGACAGCATTGCCAAACTGTTGTTACTTTGATCTGGAATATCCTCCCTCTTTTCTACGTTATCATGTCGATGTGATGAGGTTTGAACTGGACTTGATGACAACTTTTGTTCAACTTTCAAATCATTGTCTGCTTCAGGTTCAGGGGACTTGGAACCAGAATTACAATCATTACTGCCCTGCATCTTTAAGGCATACAGAATAAGAATAGTTTTTGCTCTTAAATTTCAAATGAACGACCAAAAATAAAAAGAAACTAAGTCAATAATGGGGCAAAGGCATAGCAGATGACAGCACAAGAAGCATTTCAAATTATAAAGAGGCATGAGTGGAGAACAAAATATTAGACTTTGGCCTGTAATTCCATTGAAAAGAACTCCAGAGTTAAAATTGCAGAATAGATCCATAGTTTTGCAGTAAATTTAATAATTGCAAGGTTTAAACAAGATCATCATTTTGTACAAAAAATGCAGGTTAAAGTCCAGTGGATGGACCTCATAGTCAGACAGATCATCTTCGCCAGATTCACCACTCTGAGTGCAGGTTCCACTTGATGCATTGTCATGATCTTCATCTGTATATACATTAGATTCTTCCGTTGCATCATCTACATAAGACTCATCATCATCAGTTACCTCCTCATCCTCACTTCTACATTCATCTGAGTCAGAGTACAGTCCTGGAGACATGGAACCTTCCTGTGGACACAGAGCAAATTCAAGAAAGCATTAAAACAAAAACTGGTGCCAGAAGAAGTAAACACTATAAAATGGAGAAAGCATGGCCAAGACATTCAGCTTTGAATTTACTATACCATAAAATAATATTTAACAACAGCCTCTATGACCTATCATTTTCTGTTCTGTTGTGCTATAAAGTTCCCATATCATTTGAAGCTTTATGCTATTCTTGTTCTTATTCCTCAAGTGAAACAGGGTGAAATTCTGGGGTAGTTTCTGGTAAAACTGATGGTAGGGATGATAAGGATACCAAGGCATCCATAACCAGAACTGCAAAGCAGTTAATGAAACAATCCTTTAACTTGTGTTGTGCATCAAATAATTGTTGGTCACTTCATTAGACTCCAGAGTAAACAGAAAGTGTTTTGAACCTAGTTAATATGCAGCTCTAAACCTGATCAGGAAGAAGAGATTCCTAATTTAAACATCCAGTGTCTGTATTACACAAAGCCATACTGTACTTGAGTTAAAACAACAACAGAGACTTGCAGCTTACACTGAATATTTTTTCATACTCTTCCAATAATGTTATAACAATGGCTTGTGCATGATTAGCTGCAGCAGCTGCTTTCAGAAGCTGGATGGAACCATCACCACCCACATTAAAATTGGATTCAATTTCACAGTCACCGGCCAGAAGGGGACGAAGAAGTAAGGGAGCCATACAAGCAGCCACAGCAGATGTGCTCATTCGGTTTGCAGCTTTGTGAGAGGCCACAGTTTGCATCATTAAAAGAATTCTGAACAAAAAAGGGAAATGAAGCAAAGTGCTACAAAACAATGCAAGAAGTGCAGAGCAGATGGGTAACATTCAGTCCTCCGGTCAGAAAGACAATAGGTAAGGAAAACACAAACAAGATAGTTTGATGCTCCAAATCAACAAGACTAAAAAAAAGTTCAGTCAACAAATCTCATTTATATTCTGTTACATCATCAAATCCTAATAATCCTTTTTACCAAGTGTCAAATTCCAACATTCAATTCAAAAGTACGAGAGAATCATCTACCTCTGCAATAAGCGACGATTTGGCTCTGGGAACGTTTCGCATATTGCAACCCGCATGGCATTTACCCTACTCCCACGATCAGTTCCTAAACATTATTATATCATCAAAAAATGCAAAATCAGAAACCTAATGAATTATGGAGTGCTAAAAAAATTTTATGGTACAAGAAAAAAATGTTGAACATAATTCAACGGAATGATTACCATTAAATTTTCAAATTTCATCATTTACAGCATATCTACAGATACTTAAAGATGCCAGGGAATTGGGAAAAGACTCGATCTTTGACCCAAGTCAGTAACATAGCCATTAATCCACAAAATTGTTTATTAACCTTAAAGCAGACCAGTTTATTAATGACAAACAGAAAATAAAGCTTCTAATGGATTTCAAACTGCATCTACCAGTCACCATCATTACCAATATTAACATTCAGGCATAAAATTTCTTCTGAAGTGGAACAAGAAAACCCATTTGTTAAAAAAACATAACCAGATTAATGAAGTGATAAACATAAAGGAAACTAAATAATCAACACTTGCAACGTGCATACCTAGAGCATGTACATGCAAAAGATAGTACTGACAACTAGGAAAGTACATGGTTGGAATAAAATTGGAATATATATGCTCATGCTTTACACATGTATACTTGTTTTCCAATTAATTCATCAGACAAGCAACGTCACGGTACCTTTTAGTTTTCAAAAACTCTACAAACATGGTAACGGAAAAACAATTTGTGGAGCAAGCTGTGTAATTGGATGTAAAGATTGTGAGTGATGAATTTTATATGAAAGATAATGGTTGGGCATTAACACAATATTTAATGCACTCGTCCAGTATAAATTTTGTAACTATAGCATAAGGCAGCACAGGAACAGATGAATATAATAAAGCACACAATTCAGGAACAGACTTACGACATGCTTCTAGCAGTGCATTGCAGCATGATGTGGGGACTGGAGATGATGGCAACTCTCGAAGGAAATACTGTCATATTGCAAGGACATTAAACAAAGAACATAAAGATTGCTTGTGAAATTCACAGGAATCAAAACTTTATTGCAGCAGGAAAGAGAAACACCTTGACACAATCAGCAATGACATGTGCATCCTCCTTCGGAGAGAACTCAGTTTTTCCTAAGGCACACCAAAAACCATTATTTTGAGTAACTCTAAAAATGAAAACATAACTAAGAAACATCAATGCAACTGGTTTCCTAGTCTATACTGCTTTACTAGTAAAGAGGGTCTCAATTCTTATATTTTCTTGACAATTTGATTTTTTGTGAGCAACTGTTAAATATGAAGTCAAAGAAATGGATATCTTAGCTTTAAAACTGTGTTTGTGCTAGAATGTGAAAAATTAGAAAAGACAACCATGCGGACCTGAATTTCATAGTAAATAAAAAGTACAGAGGTTTACTGAGGACAAAATATATCTTAATAAACTAACCCTGTTCAAATTCCTTAATTCGATGCTCAACATCATCAACATCTGCAGCTTGCCGCAAGATGCCTTCCACCTTTATTCCTGTTAACCAATTTCAGTCAGTCAGATTTGGACAAGTTCGAAAAAACAAAAATATCAGTACATATTTAAACCAAAAATTGAAGAAGACTTCCAAACTCTAAAACTAATGTAGATTAACAGAAGTTCTATATAGGAGACCATTATTAAGGTAAACAGTTCGAGAAGAAAAGCAAAAATGAAGAATGTATTGATCCATGTTAAATATTTCTTTTGTTATTTGTGTGGGAGAGAGAGAGTAGAAGAGATATTATATTTGTCTAAGATAGGGCATTTCAAAGTCATAATAGCCTATAACACTTGAAAAAGGTATTCTTTAGTCGCTCTACAACTAACAAATCATGTGTATGTCTTATGAGACAGTTTAAAAGCAGATAACCCAGGAAAGTACTTACAACTTGCAAAGCAAGCTATTTTTTCCATTTTTGGTCCTGCTTATGGGATATCCAGTGACCTAGAGACCGCCACCATTATATATGATGGGAAAATACTGTGATATCCAGTGACCTAGAGACCACCACCATTATATATGATGGGAAAATACTGTTCATGAAGGGGCACTGAGAAACATAAGAGCTGAGATTTGGAAAAGGCACATTTCAACCAGTCAGCCAGAACAGAAATTCCCTCATTCATTACAGTGCTCATAGCTAATTAAAGTTGACGTGGAGAACTTTCTTCATTATTCTAGTCATAATAATAATGTTTATTGCATTAAACTGTTAATGATTAATAGTTAAGGATTTTAGATTTTGAGGAGTTTAAGAAAATCCATGATGCAGTTTAGTAATTCAAACATAACTTTTAATACAATTGTTGGATTGAGCTGCAATTTTTAAAGAAAAATTTGACAGCCATGTTTCATATGAGGTTAAAATTTCATGATGATCAAATATTGAAAAGGCCTTCAAATAAGTAAGTTTTTGTGCAGAATTGTCTTTATTTTCTTTGTTGTATTTTGATTTTTTTTTTTCTATTTAGATTAAGACTTTTAATTTAATTAGTATTTTACTATTTAGTAATCCTAATGCTAGATGGATTTTATTAATTAGGTAAATTTTAATTAGGAATTCTTTCCTATAAAGGATTTTAGGTCTAGAACTTCTATAAATAAGGATGTTTTATAATGAGAAGATTTAAACTATCATTCAGATTTTATAAAATATCAGACGTTATTCTCTAAATTTCTCTACAGCTTAGTTCTGTAATCTTATGGTTTAAGAACCCTAGCTTTTATCAATGTTATAGTCATGTCAATCAATATCAAAGTAGGTTAACCTCTATAATGGATAGAAATGGTAGCAACTCATTCTGCAATACAGGAATGGAAGGCCTTTAGGACACTATGTGAGCTCAGAAGTAGAAACTAGATCTTTTGGAACAAAGGTTTGATTGATTGGAGCAAATCATAGCATAGCTTGGCTAAGGAAAGATGCAAATAGGGATCATTAAAAGAAAGGGAACTGCATAGAGACTTACCTCAGGGCACATCTAACTTAGACCTATTCCTGAATTCAATGAAAATCCTTTCTATGATGGAAGATTTTTGAAGAAAAGATTTATTAACTGGTTGAAAAACTTGGAAGCTTTTTTAGAAGTAATTGACATGGAGAACTTTCTTCATTATCTTGACATAATAATGTTTTATTGCATTATTTCATTAATAGTTAAGGTTTTTAGGTTTTGGGGAGTTTAAGAAGACTCTAAGACATAGTTTGGTAAATCAAGCATGACTTTTAATTCAACTGTTGAATCGAGTTGTAATTTTGACAGATTATTCTAAAGGCCCATTAAACAATGTTGTCACAAGGCACCTGAGCACTCGCTTAAGCGTTGGAGGTGAGGCAAGGCAAGGCCGAGGCGCCTTTCTTAGCCTAAAGTGATGGAGTTTGAAGAGGTGTTGTCCAGGCAAGCACCTGAAGAAAATTATCTAACACTAACACTGAGGATTGGTTTGAAGAGGCGTCTCTTTGATTTCTGCTTTTTTAAAAAAAAGGACTTATGTTTTGTCTTGTTTGTCTCTTTTTTTGGGTCTTATACAAGAAAAAATTTAAGGGTAGTTTTGTAAAAAACATATATTAGGGTTAAAAAAAGAGAGAGAAGACGTGAAAGTTGAAACAAGAACAAAAACAAACATGAAACACCACCAGAAAAGAAGAGAAAGAAGAGTCAAAAGTGAAGATTGAAGAACAATAGTGGCATTCCTTTAACTTTTTTTTCTCTTGTTATTTCATCTTTTTGTTTCTTAATTTCTCTCTTCTTCAATTTTTTTCTCTCTCCATGTTATTCATTTTCTCTCTTCTGTTATGCTGCCAAAATTTCTACTAAGTTATATCATTTATAATATTGTACATGTAATTTTTTATATCATAAAGGTTGAGTGTTTTGGTTCATTCGTGCAAGCACCGAGAGATGCACCTAGCACCTCGAGTATTTTCCAAGCTTGGCACTTTTTAGCATCTTTCTCCTTTGACAACTCTACCGCTAAAATTTTATAGTGATCAAGGATTAGAGAGGTCTTCAAATAAGAGACGGAAGTTACTATGCAGGACTGTCTTTATTTATTGCAGAATTGTCTTTATTTACCTTGTTGTATTTAAATTCTTTTTTCTATTTAGATTATGACTTCTAATTTAATAAGCATTTTACTAGTTGGAAATCCTAACCCTAGTTAGACATTCTATTAGTTAGATAAGTTTTAATTAGGAATTAGTTACTATAAAGAATTTTAGGTCCAGAACTAATCTAAATAGAGATATGTAGTTTCTTTTGAGAAGAATCAGATTATCATTCAGATTTTATAAAATACTAGTGATTATTCTCTAAATTTATCTAAGTTTAATTCTGTAACCGCTTGAGAGCCCTTTATCCACCTTATACTCTGCATCAGAAGTCCCTATTACAACACTCCACAAGAAAGCACGGGGTAAAGTATAGATGGTAGTCAGACCCTTTCTTTACAGTTGCACCAGAAAATGGGCAGGCTATGCCATATCCATATTCATATGCACATGTAAATTAGTTCACCATAAATAAAACAAACATCTTTAAATCACATCCATAAGCATATGCAAATTAATTCACTATTGGTAAGGTAAACAATCATATCCTCGTGTACCATAGAAGAAAAAAACAGGAACTATGCTGTACTAGGTATTGCCACTAATCTCTCTCAACTCTCAACCTCAAGATAAGGGAATTCATTGATGAAGTAGGAAAAGAAAGTAATTCAGAGATGTGGACAAGGAAAAGGAAATAATGACAGTAATGGAAAAGGAAACCCACCATGGTCTTCTATAAACCTTAAAGCCTTCTCCAGAAAAGATGGAGATCCATCAACATCTTCTAAAGCAAGTAAAATTGGTCTGCCAATGACCAGGGATTTTACTGGCTGCTTATCCTTCACTACAGGGAAAACAGTCAAATGTCAGAAGGAACTGAAAAATGAAGACAAAGTTTCTGACACTGTTCTAAAGAACTACAACGAATGAACACAAAATATTGATGTCAACTGAAAAGGATGTATACTAACACTGTTCCAAGGAACCATCAGTTCCATCAGCCTGATCATTCTGGAAGAAACCATTTTGCCCCATCACAAGAGAAGCACTTGGTGCCTGTGCCAGGGCATTCTCAAGAGCAGTCTTCCATTCATATAAATCTTCAGAAGATTCGGCCTGTGGCATCAATTCAAAGAAACCACAAATATGATATCAAGATTGCAAAAAGAGACCAAAACAGAACACAGAACAGAGCACCCAATTCTCACTGAAGCCATAGGACTTTCAAGTTGAGAAAAGATATAGGTTACATCCACTGTGGAAAAATAAGGATGCTCAGGATGAGGTAGTAGAGGGATGGATAGAGCTTATAAAAGGCATTGGAATTATGACCTTGTAACCTAGGGACATCTGATAAAATTACAATTGTGACCTAAAGAAATGACTGATCAAACCTGCTTGTGTTTTGAGATCATGTGTGGTGAAATAGCTTGATGCATTCTCAAATTAATAGTGAAAAAAGAATGAATAATTAAATGCAAAATAAGCTAGACACTAAGCTGGAGAGCTTGAACTTGTTCTTTGCCAAGTCACAGCCCAGCTCAAGCTCTGACCAAGCTAATACTCTTAAGCTTAACTCTTTTGCAGCCTGGAGAAATTATACGTGAAAAATATGCAAAAATGCAAGCAAAAGAAATGTCAAAGGGGACTGCAACGAAGCAAGAAAAATGAAAAATCACCTTGAGAGTGAATGCCCGTCCATCCCGGCCATCAGGAAAGAGAACAGTCAAGAGCTTTTTCTCTGCTTTGACAACCACACTATAAAATTCCAAAAGAAGTATTACAAAGTTAGTATATTACTTCCGGTTGTGAACAACAATGAGAAGACAGCCAGATTAACAATGTCTAATTTGAAAAAGCAAGCCAACCTGCCTGAATTGTTGAGGTCAATACCACCGAGGGTCAGGTTCACTTCACTCCCTTTTTGAGGAATAGCACTCTGACAAAGTAAAAAATACAGAGTTACATGGTATGCAAAGGCGCAACTATGCTGGGAGGGTGGGGGCTAAAGTTCCTTAATTGTGGTTTTTACCACCAACGCAAATTACAAGAAACAATATCTATCATACGCAAAACTACCTACCGGATCGCTCCTGAAGAAAACCAGTGATGTCCGTGTCAGAATAAACCACCTTTTTTTCCAGGATGTCCATCCAATTCCTAACAATATCAGAGAGAAACGCGTATTTAAATGCTCACGGAACAGATACTTCGTTTTCTTGATTGGATCATCAAAAAAAGTGGCATTTTTATTATCTGCAGTGATTAGCCTAATCAAGTATGTTAAGAAATGCCTCTTGGATAAAAGCAACTCCAACCCAAACTTCTCTGTCTGTGTGCATTATTAGTTCTTCCTAACGTAGATCAAAAACAAACCAACTCCTTCTGGGATTATACTAGAATCAGAAAAGGACGATCACCTTAAACACATGGCCATTACAAGTAAACAATATTTTATTATATCTCGCTAATTTGTCATTAAGCATAAGAAAAACCGTAAAGACATACATACCTTTGGATGAAATAAAAAGCGGCCCGCTCTTGAAAATCTGCAACACAGATTATTACAACAAAAGAAGCAACAGGGTCTGATCCATGAAACCAAACTACAAACTGATATGGTCTGAATAACCGACCTGATCAGTAATGTTGACGATGATCTAGTAATTGATCATCATCACTATAATCTTAATCATGTGAGAAATAACAGCGTGAAAAAAAGGAAAGAAAAATCACCGCATTGCCACCGTGAAAACGCAGATTTTCAAGCTGTCCTGGTGCTGGAGGAGGAGGTGGAGGCGGAGGACCGCCATCTCCCTTCATAGCATCATACAAATAAGTACGTCATTTTAAATCACATTGTGAACCAGAAAATGAAAGAACGCAAGAATAATTTCGTAAATATACATACCTTAGAAGACTCTGTATTTTTGTTGGTAGTCATCACTTACTCATCCAAGAATCACGAAATCACATAATGTACCTTGTTATCAATTAAATGAACAAGGAAAGGAAAAGGATACAAGATGTGGAGGAGCGAGAGAGAGAAGAAGAAGGGAGCGTGAAGAAGGGAGCAGGGATCTTTCGTCGCCCACGGTGCTGTGATGGTGGCGAAGCTGATTTCTTTTTCTTTTCCTTTTTTTTTCTCTCGCGATTTTTTTTGGGAATAGATGAAAAAAACCCAACGGAAACGCGGTGGTCACGCAAAAAGGGAGGAGGTCCAAGAGAAAGAAAGCGAGTGGACCTCTTAGGATGCTCCGCTTGTACACGTCACCCCTATTATTCTCACCCTCTCTTTCATCGAAACGTGCTGGAGGGAAATTATGGAAAATCGGAAAGGACATGATCACCCTCTTTGATCTTTTATTATTATACTTTGGATTTTTTTAATGTGACTGTCTGGTTTCTTACAAGGAAATTCATCCTTTGTTTATTAATTAAGAAATATTTTAAAAGACGTGGGAAAAGTTTCGTTCAGCAAGAAATAAATTATTATGAATTGTTATAGTAATTTTTTTTTTATGATAGACAGTTATGTATATTGAGATTATGTGTAATATTATGATAGTGGTAATTTTTTGAAGTATATTTTATTTAAAAATAAATTAAAATAATATTTTTTATTATTTTTTAAAATTTATTTTTAACATCAAAATAATTTAAAAAATTAATTTATTAAAAATTAATATTTTCAACCCAATAACAAATACATCCTGAAAAAGCCAGAGAAGAGCAGTCGCCCCTCCTATCATTTTTTTCCCCATGAGATATATGTGTTAGTATATGCTTCAAAATCTTAATTATCTAATATTTGTTTACGAGTGCCTGTTAAAAAGAATATTGATAATACTTGCAATCTTACCGCATATTTTATAAAATAATAAAGAATGCATTTGAGATGTCAACGAAAGTATTTTGAATACTACGAAATTATGAATTGCAAAACTTATGAATTTCTGACTTATGCCAGTGATTTGCATATTTAATCAATAAATTATTTCAAACATGATTTTTAGTATATTCTGTTTTTATAATTGTTTTCTAAAATATTTTTATTTATAAATATATTAAAATAATATTTTTAACGTATCAAAATAATCTTAAAATATTAAAACAATATAAATTTAAAATAAAATAAAATAAAATTTTAAATTTTTTTAAAATATTTTTAAAACAAAAAAATTTATATAATTATATAAAAAAAAAGAAAAAAAAAACCTCCACGAGATTGAAAAATGAGGGGTAATAATTAGTAGCGTTGATCTTTGTTACACAATCAGTAGCCTCCCATTTGCAGAGCAGCAACAGTCACGCCACAGGTGCAGCATGTCCCTGTTCCACCCTACTAAAAGCCTGAACCATCCATCATAGATGGCCCATTGACGAGCGAGCACCAAAGCCTAAATCACATCATTTTCATGTCACCCTTTGATTAAGGAATTTTGTCACCTTCCTCCCTTTGAAATAATTGCATGTTTGGTTTTATATTTTAGAAATGTTTAAAAAAAATAATTATTTTTATTTTTTATTTTTAAATTATTTTAATGTATTAATATCAAAAATAATTTTTAATAAAAAAATTATTTTAAAATATTTTCAAGTGAAAAATATTTTAAAAGCAACTACAACCATACTCCCGAACGGGCTCACCAATGCTCAACCACCAGTTATGTATTTTCTTTTAAAAGAAAACTAGACATGCATGGGATGCACTTTTTCAAATGGAAAGATTTTAAGTATAAATTAAAAATTTTAAATAAACAACTAATTAAATAAATAAATAAAATTATAAACGATAACTGATAACAAAATTTAAAAAATTAAGAGATAAATAAAAATCAAGATATTTGATCTCACAGCATAAGATATTTATCTAGTTGTATTTACTAAATTTATTTATTCAAATTAATTTTTTATTTAATCAAATAATAATAGAAATAAACATACATGAAAATTGATTAAATAAATGAAAACATTACTGCACATATCAGAAATATTATCTAAGAATAAATTTTTTTATTTTTAAAAATATTTTTTTATAAATATAGATGAATTTGAACAATATCTTAAAAATTTAAATACATATAAAATAATTAAAAAAGCTTTATTCAAAAAAGGTTAAATAAGAAAAATAAAAAGTCATCAAGGAGGGATATTAATTGGAACATAAATTAAAAAATTACTTAAAAAAGACATATTAAAAGAAAGTGTTGATTAAAATAAAATCAAAATTAGAGTAAAACATAAAAAAAAAAAAAAAAATGATAGTATATGTACTGCAAACATATTTAAAAAATAAAAAATAAACGACATAGGTTATATCTTCAATTAGGTTTAATAAGCTAGTTTTCATTTTAATTAGATGTTAGAAAAATAGACAACAATAGAAAACGAACATGTGAAAAAATAAGGGTCCGAGTCAACCTGAAGTAGTATGATAGATATTTAACCTAGGTAATAAAAGATGAGCCGAACCAGGTTGATCGGCAAAATATGTGGCCTAAATCATAAGATTGGAATAACATGATAGATAAGAAATTAAAAAAAAACTGCAAAGCTAATTGATTAGTACTTAAAAGTGCATTTTTATCAAGGTTTTATATTATCATTTTGCACTTGAACTATCAATAACTCCTTAACTAAAGCATGTTTTATACTAACATATCTAATAATATAAGATACCTTTAATTTATGGTAAATGTTCATTTTAAATACAGGACTATCACATAAATAAAAGAATTAATTGATGAGTTTAAGAACTGAAACTAAAAGGACAAAGAAATGGCCAAATTTAGAAAAAAAAGATGTCAATGTAGTCCAAACCGGAACACTGTTCAGTAATTGGGTCATATCTGGAGCTGTAGGTATCTGATTAGTACTTGAAAGTGCATTTTTATCAAGGTTTTATATCATCATTTTGCACTTGAAGTATCAATAACTCCTTAACTAAAGCATGTTTTATAATAATATATCTAATAATATAAGATACCTTTAATTTATGGTAAATGTTCATTTTAAATGCAGGCTTATCACATAAATGAAAGGATTGATTGATGAATTTAAGAACTGAAATTGAAAGGACAAAGAGATGGCCAAACTTAGAAAAGAGATGTTGGTGCAATCCAAACCGGAACACTATTCGGTAATTCCATCATATCTGGAGCTGTAAATCTCAGATTTAGGTCCACTTTATATAGATGGAAAGGTAAGACATAGCCTACAACTTTTATATGGAGCTAAGATCTAAAAAAGTCATTTTCAAGTCCAAATTATAGCAACAACAAAGAAGCCCGAATCTATCTTCCAGCCCGAGCACTGTTCAGTATTTGGCCCATATCTGGAGTTGTGGAAGTCCAAAATGAGCTGAATTTTTTACATAAGAAAGATGAGACATGTCTTTGTAGGCAATTGTCTCAGCTTTCTTGTGTAAAAAATTCAGCTCATTTGAACTTCTAGAACTCCAGATATGGCCAAAATACTGAACAGTGCTCGGGCTGGAAGATAGATTCGGGATTCTTTGTTGTTGCAATAATTTGGACTTGAAAATGACCTTTTTAGATCTTGAGCTCCATATGAAAGTTGTAGGCCTATGTCTTACCTTTCCATCCATATAAAGTAAATATGAGATCTATAGCTCCAGATATGACCCAATTACCAAACAGTGTTCCGGTTTGGATTGCACCGACATCTCTTTTCTAAGTTTGGCCATCTCTTTATCCTTGCAATTTAAGTTCTTCAAGTCATCAATCAATCCTTTCATTTATGTGATAGGCCTGCATTAAAAATAGACATTTACCATAAATTATAGGTATCTTATATTATTAGATACATTATTATAAAACATATTTTAGTTAAGGAGTTATTGATACTTCAAGTGCAAAATGATGATATAAAACCTTGATAAAAATGCACTTTTAAGTACTAATCACACCCCCCAACCAGCTTATTACTAGTCCCTAGTAATCAAAGCGTTAAAATAGAAAACAAATTTGCAAATTTCACAAAGCAAGGTATTCATCATTTAACTTCCATTAATCTATCCAGATAAACAAACTCTCGTTAAATTTATATACCTACTCAATACCTGTTAACAAGATATTCATAAACCTTTCTTTTGTGCTCAATGTATCAACACATAATTATGGGGCTTTTCTTGGAAGAAAACAAAATTTTTGTTCTAATGTTTAAGGTTAACTTCCTTGGGTTAGGATTATTATTTTTGTCTTTTTTTTTCTTCTTGTTTTTTTTAAAAAAAATATATATACATACAATTTAAAAACACCATGCATCTTTAACCCATGTAACGAGCTTTCGGCTAATGACTCCCAGACCAGTTGGTCTTAGGGCATTAGGTGTTAAGACACCCCTACGAGCTTAGTAACTCGGGTCGCAGATACTGATATGTAGATAGTGCAATGTTTGATTCCCTTAAGCTTTTCTCCTCAACCCATGTAACAAGTGTTGGGCCAATAGCTCCCAAGTCAGTTGACTTTAGGGTATTAGGTGTTAAAACACCCCTTCGGGCTTAATTGCTTAGGTTAGGGAGGCTACAAAACCAAATTTATCTACATTTTTATTATTATCATTCTTTTTCTTTTTTTTTTCTTTTTTTTTCATTTTTTTAATTATATACAATCCCTTTCCCTTAGTTGTTACCTTTAACAAAAGAACATAAATAATGTAATAATCCAATATGCAACCCACAATCATATGTTAAAGTGTGTGTGTATGTAAATTAAGGTTTAAGAATACATGTTAAATAAGTGTATGAACAGAATTAAGTGATAACAATGCGAGAGTTTGTAAACCTGAATATTTCAAGAAGTATTATAATAGACCTTGTTAAGAATGGTTACTAAAATGCGTCTCAAGAGTCACTTTAATAAAAGAGCTCCTTTACTCTGCCATCCTAGTAACAACAATTATGCACATGCTTTATGAAATGAAAAACAATTTTTTTTTTTATCAACTACTACCCTCTCCCCCCAACCAAAACGCGACATTGTCCTCAATGTTCTAAGGTAGAAAGATAGAGTATAGAAGATATCACCTGAAATAACAAATATTGACAAACCTGAAACACACTTAAACAAAAATAAGTAATACCAAAACACAATAATAAAACAAAACAACACCAAAATTATAAATGAAGACTCAAATCTAATCTAAGCTTTTTACAGCTTTCCTTAGATGACCAATTTATGCGATTCATGGAGGGATCAATTACAGGAGTGAA